GTCTAAGGGCAGTGCCCCTAGCAAGGTCCAAGGTGCAGAGCCCCTAGCGGTCAGCAGTCAGGGTTCCAAGTGGCAGCGTTGCGAAACCTAAACGGATTTTACATCGGATCCATGCAATTTCCTGCTAAAACGCTCTTGATGACATCTTGATGATGCAAGCACTAGTTTTGTCTCATAACTACCAGTTTTGGTGCCAAATCTCGAGGCAACCACTATAACCACTTTTCCCTATGGTATAAGAACATTTTTCATGCTCCAGAAAACGGGTTACAAACAATATCCTCTCAAAATCTGATTTTAAGATGTGTTCTATCTCACAAGAACACATTAACATGTATTCTATATTTCACAATCTGAATTAGGCATGTAATTCAGATTGGTTCATTCTTGAATTATCCCACTTCTGAATTCGTGTACCCTAATCAAAAAGGATGAATTATAGATTTCAGAAAGGGTTTGTCAAACACGATGCTTGAATATATCCAAGTCTATATTTATTGTTATTTTGATCCCTTTACATTCTAACAATTTGTGGCAACAATCATTCCATCCTTCCATTAAGCAATTAACGGTGACCTGAGTGGTAATTTATACCAAGGTTGTCAGGATCGGGATCTTATGTAGGATCGTTTTTTGAGTTGCAAAATCGAGATCGTGATCCTAAGATCCCACAAAATAAAACATAATTTTAATTTATAATTTTAAAACCTGAAAAATATTTCAAGCATTCAATTTTTCGTTCAAAAATTATAAAAATTCAAAATGTTAGTTATAAGTCACAACACAAAATGACAAACAGTAAATTGGTAAGCGTAAAAGGCATAAAGTGGTAAAAATGTTTATTTGAAAAAAAAATAATAAATAAATAATCAAGCATCAGATCGGATATCGATCCTACCCCAAATATGAACCGTTTACGATCAGGATCGCGATTTTGACAACCATAATTTATACATGGTACTCGAACACCATCAAGCAGATGAGTTCCAAAAACAAGATCAAGGAACTAGGATAAGCTAAACACTAAACAAACACTTCAAATCTATCATAATAAGAGTCGAGAACTCAAGTAGTCGCTTCTTTGCATTAGCAAGATTTCTAACATGCCCAATCATTTGAAACTTCCAGGACATCACATTTGTGAAATGTCGATCCTCCTCTACACTCTTAAGCTCAAGATCCCGACTTCGGTACTCGCTATAGCCTATAGATTCAGCTCGATCACCTTGCAATCTTCCATTTGGCACCTAGTCCAACCTAGCCACCCGGAACCCTCCTATGATTTCCTTTGACAAGTTATCCACACTATTCTCCTTTACTTTGTTATGACGATCTCAACATGCAATATCTGCCTCCAACTCTTATACACACTACAATCAGTTACCGACATTCGCCAACACATTAAATACTCTCAGGGAGACCATGTAACGCCCTTGTTTCTTGCTTTACATAATTATAAAATATCTATTTACGTCAACCAGTGATTGTAATATTTTATGAATAAGTGAAAGATAATTATTCGAGTATATATGTTTATATATAGTATGTGTGTGGAAATTGAACAAATATTATGTTTATATAAATATGACTAGAACAAACGTTAAAAATAAAAAGATTATTTAGGATAAATAATCTTAACGAAAATTGTAACGGCCGTAAAATCTCAAACTATATAAGACGTATTTTGTATAAATACATTAAAAGGTGAATCCAAATGATCAAACGATATTTTTATGCTATACCCGTTTTTCAAAAAATATATGTCGAAATATATTTTATAACGGTAGTTATCAGTTATTAAAATTAAACCGTTCAAACGATAACATTTCAGATTCGTATAATATTGTTTCGAAATTCATTAACATTATAAGTTATGATTTTTATTATTTTGACAAATTATTACTTTATTATAAAATAAACGTTTGTGCCTATTTTCAAATTATTGTACTTAAAACGTACATACGTAATCTAGTTTTCATGGTTTTAAAACAAGATATATATATATATATATATATATATATATATATATATATATATATATATATATATATATATATATATATATATATATATATATATATATATATATATATATATATTAAAACTATTTATGCTAAATTGGTTATTAACATGCGATATATTCATAAAGTGTAAATGTAAGAATTCTAGTGATACGTGTAGTTATAAGAAGCAATCTTATCATCATCTAATTGTTGTAAGTATTGAGACTAATGTGTTCAATTTCAAAGGTGCCACAACAATGGCAAATCATTTAGACGTATCTTATGGCGGTTTAATTTTCTTTTAGTATAAATAGGACCATATGTTTGATAAAGCGTATAATCCATTGAAAACAAATAAAAAAAGAGATATTTTTGTAAGAAGACAGCTTCAAATATCTATCCGACAAGGAATAACTGTGAGGATTATTCTGAAAGTGATAAATACATCCATTGTATCAGGTGAGTGTATGGTTACTTTTATCTTATACATAAATATGAAGTATTTTATATAAATCACATGTTATATGTGTATATTATCTGTTTACCTGATATCTATGTTGGATGAACATTTTATACATGTTTTAAATAATTTAAACTGTATATGTATTTTTTATCTACAAATATGTTGGGTAAAACATAAGTAGATGAAATAGATGATGTGTGATAAAATGATGAAATGTTTCGATGTTGTTGTTGTTGTTGTTGTTGTTGTTGTTGTCATCTAGCAGAGTATAGATGACGACCACAGACCTTTCTAGACAATCCAGTAAAACGCTAGCAGGCTCGCGACCTATATGTGTTGGTGAACTATATTTTCACTGGTGTACTCCATCCCCTTTATGGTTGCCTTACGGACATATATGGCTGAGGAATCCCCTTAGCAGTAAAGTCCACCCCGATGAAAATCCTTAGACTAGATCCCTTATGATAGATGTATAGGGACGTAAAGCGAGGATAACAGGAACGGGTAATCAGGGTTATTGTTGGTTGATGAAATTAATAAATTTATTATTGGTTGATGAAATTAATAAATCTATTATTATTTGTGAGTTGAAAACTATATATGCTCACCAGGCTTCCAAGTCTGACTCACTCATTTTTTTATATTACAGATAGTGGACCCCGAGCATAATTTAGATAATAACGAGGGATTTTGGATTATAAACCAATAGTTATAAATAACTATTGTAAGGTCTATAATATGTTATCTATGCTTTTGGTCTATATCAATGTGGACATCCCGAGGTTTTGATATATATATATATATATATATATATATATATATATATATATATATATATATATATATATATATATATATATATATATATATATATTTCTTTAAGAAATGTTTTAATAAATTTTATCATGTTTTGTTTTGTGGATAAATTCCACAAACATCTTTTAAAAGATTACTCTAATTTTATTTTAAAAACATAAATTAAATTGGTCTTTTCTGACCAAGAAAATTTGAGATGTCACAAACCGACGTAAGAAAGTCAATAGAGAAGCAATCAACAAACTAGCCAGATCATCATCATTAAGTCAACGACCACCTGGCACCGTCCAAGTCGTAACTCTAGCCAAAAAGAAGAGTTTGCTTCAATCACACCCTCAGCACAATACCTATGGCATGATGCCATCCTCAATAAACGTAAAAATTAAATCATAACATTACTTATGATAACTGTATACGCCTTCAACACAATGCTACAATGACAGACATGGCATAAACTAGATTGTCAACGAAAAATCATTGTTTTATCTGGATTGTTCAAGCTTGAATACATTTATCTTCGCAAAAGAGCTCAGTATGCCCATCAAACTTAGTAGTGGGCCACTGGATCTCGAATGCAAATAACCACTTATGAGGTTCGCATGTGATGACTACAATACATGCGACATAGCCTCATGTTTGCACAATGGATCAATTCAATATGAAAGTTTGCTTGAATATTGTTGTTAATCCAAAAAAAAAACACACACACACTAACAAGAAATAAACATGTTGATGTAAATCAAAATGTTCATAAAGTTCAGGCATTGCCTTTTCAACCTATATAATGTTTCAACATGTATATCATGCCTACTTTGAATAGTTTTGAATAGTTTCTAGATTTAACAGTGTTTTGTTTTAAAATAAAAACTTCAAACGAACTTTTTTTGTTTAATTTAAGCATTTTTAAAATACTAAAGCTTAAACACCTAAAAATTCTAAAAAACTATCTCATAACTGTTTCACTAATTTCCAGATTCTAATGCACCCCTACATAAACCAACGTTGGCAAGATAAAGTTCACTATTAAATTTAAAACCCAAATTACCATGTGTCATCTCTTGAGGTTTTGATTATTCATAAATTCATTTCCACCTTGACTAATATAAACAATATCTTCCACCTTGAACAGTACCTAAAAAACCTCCACCGAGTTATCCACATCATCTTCGTATTGACACAATTGCTACAGCTAAAGGAAACGTGTACTCTTTGACCTTTTGCACAGATTGGTTTTATCTTCATCATTAACTACTTTCAAAATTATTTTCCCACAATTATAACCTAATTTCAAAATGAATAAAGGCAAAATTGAAGCACACAAAATCTGCTCCTAGATTGAAACCTCAAAGGTCAGAAATCAGAATCACAAAATGAATCAGACCCAAGAGTTTTTCATCAAGGAGCATAACATAACATAACATACAACAAGAAACACAAGGGATAAATATAATTTTTTTTAAAACATATAATCCAAAAAAATAAGAAAAAAAAAACAATCATTCTATCCAACAAACGAAAACTAGCATTCAAAAAAGTCGTAATATCCTATATAATCTCCACGTTACTTTTTTATTAAGTTTTTTTCTTCTTTCAGCTTTTTTTGTGCTTTTCGTTTTTCAATTTTTTTTTTCCTTTTTTTAATTTTTCAATTTTTTTTTTTTTTTTTTTGTATTTCATGTTTTTACCTTTTCTCGAAACCACCAATTTCTCTATCTACCAGTAAATCCAGAATTCATCACCTCTCTTCTCAAAAACATTGCTTCTTAGTTTAGTCTCGGTTGACTAGTCAAACTTGCTCAGCTTGTTGACCACCGACATGGTCAACCCCATCCTCCAGTGTAACACCTTGAAGCTGTGATGCTAATTGATCTTGACTGCCCGACTGCCCGACTGCCCGAGGGCTTGATAAGTTGGAGTAGTGGACAGTTGTGTTTATTAGCCATTTCATCCAATCATTTCGCCTTCTTATTTTGTTTCCCTGTCATGCACAAGGGTAAAAACGGAATAACTCAAAAGTTGTAATGTGTTTGACAAGCATCGGATTGAAAAGTGATATTAACACCATGGTAAAAGAACAAAATTGTAATTTCGGTAGGATAGATAGCTAAAAGGTGGGAGAGGGGCAAAATAGTAATTTTTGTCATACGCACCTGGACTTCCACTTTGGTTGAAGCTCTCATAGCATCTAGAATTAGCTGAATGTTATCTGTTAAATACAAAACCTGTAATATTGGAAAAAATGGTTATCTTTCTATTTAAAAATTCATGTACTTTTAAAGTAAAAAAAAAAAAGTATATTATCCTTTATATTCTTTTGTAACCATTACTTTGAGATTTCCTTTTATGAAATAATATAACTCAGATATTCCAAAATAGTTACCTTTTTGAAGCCAGCTATTAAGCTTACAGGAACCCACCCTTGTTCATCCATGTTTTGTCTCAAATAAGTATCTTTAACTAAATTCTCATTGCTGCAAATGAAGAATTAAGAATAAATTTATTTTTATAAAGAAAAGAACTTTCAAATGACAATTTTATAAAAGACTTACCTGAAATAGTAATCAATTTGGGTCACTATTCTAGCATGCAAAGATGGATCTGGAACAGCAAAGAACATGGGAGGTGGAACTGGAGCAACAAGAGGCATAGCTCTCAGAGCATCTGGTGGAGGTGGTGGACCTTGTACATAGAACACAGGAGACATATCTGCAAAAAAAGATTCACAAATTTGAAATCAGACAAAGTAGAATGGTAAATAACTGTGGAAGATATTCCTACCATGATACATCATGTTGTTGCCAAAAGGGCGAACTGGAACAGACATTTGTGGAGAGATATATGGAGTGGAAGAATGTACAGAGGGTCGAATGTAACCCCTAGGGTAACCTCTCTGAGGCTGCATGTGGTTATCTCTTCCATTAAAGCTTCTACTGTGTTGATTCCATTCATGATTTCCACGATCTTGATCTCGCTTTCCACCATAATTGTGATGTTGTCCACTATTGCTTCTTCTGTAAGAGCTTCTTTGATGTTGGTGATCATTACCATTGTGTGACTGTGGCCCAAAGTTTCCTCTTGGTGACTCGATGTGTGTTGTTTTGTCTCTTGGAGAAGGGTCTGAAGCAGGAGTTCCTGGTTTTCCAGATGTGTTATGGAGGTTTTCTGTTCCCAAATCATTGTTTGTTGCTGATGTGTGAGAAAGAACACCATTAGCTGATGGATTTGAATTGGAACTCCCACCACCTCGCCTCATGGATCTCTGTCTTGCAGGAGCTACATGGTTTGGAGTTGAAGATGGATACGCGTTGTTTGCACTTGTGTGTTTATGTGATAATGGAGATGCATTTCCTGTCACCTGTGATGTCATAAACATTATGCTCCCGTTTATATATAAGTAACTGTGAATGATTGAAAGTTGTAGATTAATGGTATTCGTATTCTTACCTGTAATGTAGGCAGAAGTGGTGCATCTCCAAGTGCTTTTAAGGATTCTGATGAAGAAGATTTTGGGGAAGCCTTAGTGGATTCTCCGAGAGCAGGCCAAGAAACTGCACCCATTACAGGGCTCACAGCCTCAACAACACCGTTCGGTTTATTCCATACCGGTTTCTTAGATGCAACACCGCCGCTGTCAGAACCCTGAACATCAGTGCCGGAATCATCCGGAGAGCTTACTACATCCGGCACCATTGAAGGCGGACACCAATCCGAGGTAAAGTTACCTATTTTCTCCTCAACAGAAGATGAAAACGTCGGTGCTGGAGCAACAGAAACCGGCGCCGCGGAAACAGCATCCGGTACCATGACCGGCGAACCCTGCACAATCGTACTCCACGGAGATGAAACCGTCTGTGAATGTCCCGGAGACCTAGGGTTTTTTATAACGCCGCCGCCGCTATCATCAGATTGAAAATTTGTAGCGGCCATAAAAAATTAGGGTTTGTTCGGATCAAAATAATCAAACTCCAAAATTTTCTCACTTGTTTTGGAATAAATTAGGGTTTCAAGTCGACAAAGTGAGTAACGGTGAATACGAATAGAATCAAAACGTCAAAAAGGAATAAAATAAGCTCTGATCGATAATCAATAAGATAAAGGAAGAGAAGTGAACCACAATCAACCGAGAATGCTATGGTAGCGTTTTGAGTTGAAAAGATTCTGGCTTCGACGGATCACCGGATGTTCCGATCGCCGTCACACACAGAGCACCGGCGGAGGGTGAAGTTCACATACACAAATAGAGACAGACCGAGCTGTATCTATCTCTGCCCTTTCTCTCTCCATGTTTCCTCTATATCTGTGCTGCGTATTTATGTCTAATGACGATAATGCCCTTTCCGTTGTGTACTGTGTAACTTCGCGTTGATTCAAAACGGTATCAGTGTGGTCCACATGGTAGTCGCACCGGGTGTTCAACAGTTGGCACGTGACCGAGCGTAGGTTGTTGTGAGCCTATTTACGGACCTTGCCATTTATTTATTTACCATTAAATTTGATGTAAATGCATATTTTTAGAATTGTTTTAGTCAAATATTTGTTAAGTTCGAGTTAGATGTCATTACATCATCATATACAAAAGTCTTTGCATTTACTTTTGCTAAATGTAACCGAATTTTGAGATATTCATAAAGGGGAGTATATCACTATATCTTATAATTTTAAATAATTCCACCGTTTTGTATTTTGTTCCCGAATTCAATTTAACGAAAGAAATAAAATGAAATAAATAGAAGTCAAAAAAAAAAAAGGAAAAAACTTAATGTTTTTGAGTTTTTAATGAAACATTACAATATAGCATGTGGAAATCTCGATTACAAAAATAATTAAATTTTTATAGTAAAAAACTATATTAATCAATTATTTTAAATAAATTATAAATTTTTATAGTAAAAAATCTGTTAATCACTATTTAGGAAGAACACGTGGATTAGATATAGTAACCTGAAATCGAATGGCATGAAGACTCCTCAACTCGATAGTTGTTTGCTAAACCGAATGAAGCAAATAGTCTTCGATCGATAATAGTTTGTGTCCTTGAAAGTGTGTATGAAATACACAGGACTTCACATTAAAAAGCTTTTTGTGGCCTATCTTTGCTTGTTTCCCTATTTCTATCAAAATTGTAGTTTAGATTCTTAGTTGGCCTTTCTTTTCTTTTCTTTAGTAAATCACCTCTAAGTTCATGTATGTAACAGCCCAAAATTTCAAATAAAAAATTTCATTTAATAATTAGAAATCTCAACCACATATGTTTTTCCATAATTCCATTACATAAACACATTGTTCAAAAGATCAGAGTATCCAAACTGTAAGTGCGGAAATATTGGAGAGTGTCTGTTACGCCATCAATCCGGACCCTTGCCCTTAGAAATAGAAGAAGCCATACAAGTCAAAGTCAAAGTCCTGGCCAAAGTCAACATTCCCGATTGACTCTACTCATCGAGTTCTCAAACTCAGAAAACTCTCATAGCACAACTCAACTCGCTGAGTCACCCCAAGACTCGTCGAGTCCAACGATCTCTGAATTCCATCGTGTCCAACTCACTGAGTTGCCAACCGACTCACTGATCTGAAGCTTTAACCAAAAGAAATTGGGGTTCTGCGACCTAACTCACCGAGTCCAAGAACAGACTCGCCGAGTCTAAGGCAATCTTCAACAGACTCGTCGAGTTGTTCTTCCAACTCGTCGAGTTCATGCCTATCTTCATATGACTCGCCGAGTCCAACTAAGGAACTCGTCAAGTCTCTTCAGTCGTTCATTCATACAGAGGCTTTTTGAGCCATGTAGGGGCTCCAAACTGTAGATCCACTCTTCTAGGTCACGATTCTCACGTAAAGTTGCAAACTTTACGTGAAACCAAGGAGTTAAAGGTCCAAATCACTCTAGGGCTAGGATTTAAGACAAAGGGGCCTCACCAACAACTCATTGACTGATGCTTTATGACATTCTAGACCAACACAAGTCTAGATCTAGAGTAGCAACTTCAGATCTGAACTCCAAACCCGAAATAGATCTCAAACATACCAAAATGGCCCCAAATCTCATCCATGAATAGATCTAGATGCAAAAGAGTGAAGGTAACAACTTAATACCTCCAAGATGTGCCCAAACTGAAATAGATTTGGGATCTACACCACTCTTTTGATGCAAGCCCTTTTGATCTTCAAGTTTCTTCCATTAGAAACAACTTGCAAAGCTTCAATCTCACTCCAAAGGCCTCACACACACGAGCTTAGGGTTTTCTGGTTCTCAATGGCAATAAGGAGGCTGAGAGAAGGACATAAAGTCCTTTAAATATGGTGCAACCCTCGAGATTAGGGTTTTTCTCATTCCAGCACCAACTCGTCGAGTCCAGCTTCTGACTCGGCGAGTTGGTCACTTAATTCGCGACCCAAAACCCGCTCTGACTCGGCGAGTAAGAATACCTACTCGTCGAGTCCCTTCTTCGAAATTACACTTTAAACCCTTAAATCATACTTCTGAAATTCGAGATATTGCAAACAGGCCTTGTTGGGCCATAAATGAATTAATTAGCCTTAATGGACCACAAACCCATTCCTTTGTACCATCTTGGGCCGTGAACCACCTTAAGAGCCCAATGGGCCCAAAAATAATACTGGGCCTATGGAATTCGACCAAGCCAAGGATTTGAGCCCAAAACCATTTTTCTTCATTCCATTTGACCATTCTCGGCCCAAAATACAAAAAAAAAAAAAACAAAAAACAAAAAAAAAAAAAAAAGGAAAATGGCTTGTGTAGTAAGAGATGCCACATCAATATAGCATACCAAATAACAAAGCTTTTGTCCCACAAACAACCATGCATCTTACATCACTCACCTGGGTCAACCCCTACCCTCTTTCCCCCTCTTCTCTACCTCTCGGCTATACACATACACACTTCACATTTCCAAGACTTCAAACACTTCTTCTTTCCTCTCAAAACTTCAAATTTCCTATCATCTCTTCATCTAAAAATCGTGAATTTGTATGAGTTTTCAAGAGGGTTTTTCTTCAAGTTTCCATCTCTTGAACAACCATCATTTCAAAAGTTTCACCAAGAACACAAGCTATACTCAAGCTTCTTCTTCTTCTTCATCTACATCTCAAAAACCCCCAAGGTGAGTTCATACCCCCTTGTTTTCGGTTTTTACTTGTTTTTTGGGGGGAGAATACAAGTATTATGTGTAGATCTATGTGTATATGCATGATTATGTGTGTTTTCTTGAACTATTTGGTGATTATGTGTTGTTTACTTCATAAACCTAAGAATATGTTAAGAAAATGAAGTTTATCACTTGGATCTACATGAAAACCTTGAGAAAAGTATGTGTTATCACATATAATAAATGTAAACTAGTAGATCTGGGATTTATACACTTAATTTAGTAAAAATGAGTGTTGTGTTCCAAGATCTATAAACTAAACTCAAAAATCAGCCTTTCACAGGAAAGTTTTGGCCCAATATTGAACTGTTTTGACCACCTAAATGATAATATTTTTCAAACTGTTTTACATGAAAAAAGTTCAGGTTTATACCTTTAAAATGACTACTCTCATGTTTTCATACGATTTTTCTACAATTTTTGGCGAATTTTACAAAACTGCCTATCAGATTTGAAATAATTTCGGACCAGCCTGTGAAGGTGAGCAATTTCACACTTGTTAGAAGCCATTAAAAATTGTGAGAAAAATTGTGAACAAAGTAGACAAAATTTCCAAACTTCCAGAATTTATAGATCCAAATTTTGGACTTACGATGATTTTTCTACGAATTTTCCAACAACTAGGTCGGAAAAGCCCAAAACCAGAAAAATATGTATTTTCACAAAAATCAAGCCAAAATGATATTTTTGACAAAAATGGGTTTAAAATGTTATTTTTACCACAAACTAGTCATCAACACAAGTATTGAACAAAATGGAGACTAAAGTGTTATTCTTACAAAAATTGGGGCTTAATTGTAAATTTTTGGCTTATTGGGCCAAGAACGTCATTTTTACAAAAAGTTGGCTTTTATGCTATTTTAGTGAATACTTGAACCAAAACTGAAGATAAACTAACAAATGGATTAATTTGATCATTTTCTAGGTTATCGGGCCTTAGTGGCCTATTTATATGTGTGATAGGTCTTGTATATTATTTATATGTTTATTGGGCCTCATTGACCCATTAACATGTGCGACGGACCTTGGATACTATTTGAATGCTCATTGGGCCTGTAAATACCTTACATGTGAAATGGGCCTTAGTTGTCATTTCACATATATTTCGGGCCCATGTTATATAATCTTATTCCAGTTGGGCCTTGAAATGATTTACATGTTTAGCGATGCCTTAGTGGTTCACTTACATGGTTCATTAGGCCTGGAATGAGTTTATACTTTTTCTTCGCGTAAATTCGATTAAGGATCTAGTGAGTTTTATCGATTGACACCTATTGAGTGTATGATCGTGGCCTGTAGTTATAATCAGAGTCGCTTTGAGGGAGAGCGGGGATTTGTGTATAGATCTATACGGGGATGACACCCCACACCTGAGCTGTTCGCTACAGTTAGACTAACTCAATCTAGGGTGACGAAAACCTTATAATCAAAACCAGCATCCAACAATGCCAAGACAGGCGAAATTGTCATTATTTAGTATGGTTATGACGACTCACTTAAAGGAATTAACATTATGAAGTTTACGGAAGACCAGTCTCTTTTCTCTTGGATTACTCGGAAACATACTCGTACTGGTACTCAACCTCGGGGGTTGGTATGGCAGCTTTCTTTTTTACACACAACATCGAGTTGTCTGGGAACATTCTCTTTACATGCTCTTTACATTCTCTCTACATTCTCTTTACCCTTTTTAATCAAATAAACAATAACATACATGCATTAATACAAGATCTAACACAAACGTACTAAATAGTTTGCAGAAAATATAGGATTTTCTGGTGGTTTCAAAGTTATACAAATCATTTACACAAACATGCTTATGAACTCACCAACATTTTTATGTTGACCGTTTTCAACATAACTTGTATTCTCAGGAAACGTTGAAGCAGGATGAACGAAACAAACTAATGGATATTGTGTTATGTTTTGTTTCATCATACTCTGACTATTTTGGCATGCAATATTCAAATACAATACTCGATGTAAACAATGGATGTTGTTATATTACATATGTGATGATGATTATGTTATGTTTCAATTATATACTCTCTAATGATATTTCAAGATGAAGTCATGCACAAGCCCCCAG